TTTTTTCCATCGCCTCGTGTGCGGCATTTTTCATTTTGAGTTTTTTTTTTTCATCGTCTCGTGTATGGCATTTTTCATTTTGAGTTTTTTTTTTCATCGTCTCGTGTACGGCATTTTTCATTTTGAATTTTTATTTATTTTTTTTTAGCGTGATTTCTCCTTTTATAAATTTTTTCCACGCCTTTTCCACGGTCCCCGACTCGCGTTTTAATCCTAGTTTTATTTGCCAATTCCGTCCGTTTAAGGGGTCCCTCAATTCCCCAGCCCGACGTCAGCTGAGCTCACGTGACCCCGTCTACGTTTAACTACCGGCCCGTCGACCGATAGGAGGCGCGCTACTGCAGAGATACTACTAGGATTTTTTTCTTCCCTTATTTCTGTTTTTTGGCCTTCTTATTCTCTTTTTATCTCTTTGGCCTTCTTACTCTCTTTTTTTTCTCTTTGGCCTTCTTACTCTCTTTTTTATCTCTTATCTTCACTTTTCTCTTTGACCTTAGTCTTAGCGCTTCTCTTTGTTATTTGTACTCTATTATCCTATTATTCTGCACACTTTAAGCTCCGTGCTCAATGCCTCTAGTTATTATATTAACACTTAGCTGCTATTCCTCCTTTATTTCAGGAGACAGAACCCACCATGCTCATCCAGAGGCTTCAATTTGGTTTACGGCCGAATAGCGGAGTTTTTGGGCCTTTCGGCCAACTTAGGTAACCCGCTTACCTGTTTTATGTAAGGCGCCTTTCCCCTCTGGATGCGAACGGCCGCTCTGCTCATGGGTCGAATCTCACCGCTCCTTGTGTGCTCGAAGATCATCACGTCGGGGTCACCATCTGAAGGATTTTGGGTTGTTCTGGACTGGATAAAAAAAAAGAAAAGGTGAAAAGGAGGAACCCAGACCAGTGGTCATTCCATATGTTGAGGGAGTATCAGAGAAACTGAGACATTTATTTTCTAAACATAACATCCCAGTGGCTTTTAAACCCCAAAAATACATTACGGCAAAGACTGGTTCATCCCAAAGATCCAGTCCCCCGGCACAAACAGAGTAATGTTGTGTATGCTGTTCAGTGTCAGGAGGGCTGTGATCAGTCTTACATCGGGGAAACAAAACAGCCACTGGCCAAAAGGATGGCCCAGCACAGAAGATCAACATCATCAGGCCAGGACTCTGCGGCCTGATGATGACATTAACGTTATTTTTAGAAAATAAATGTCTCACTCATCTCCAGGCCAGCGGTCACTCTTTCAGGGATGAAGATGTTCACATCCTGGACAGAGAGGAAAGATGGTTTGAGAGAGGAGTAAAGGAGGCCATCTTTGTGAAAAGAAATTGTCCATCGTTAAACGGGATGGAGGCCTCCGGGTTCAATTGTCCCCCTCTTACAATGCTGTGATTGCTAGTATCACTCAGCCCTCTGTGAACAGTTAACAGCCATCAGTGTGCTAATGATCCATTGTTAGGCTGATGGTCCTTCTTGAGCATGTGATCAGCTGGTTTTGGTTGTCAGCAGCAAAACTGGTTGATCCACTCTGAGACGGTGCTATTTAAGAGACTGAGCTGAATACAGCTCCTCAGACTGAGGAAATCTCTCGAATGAGAGACGAAACGTTTCTACATTTTTTTGTTTTTTTGCTTTGTTTTGTTTTTTTGAATGTCCAGAGGACCAGATTAAACTTTTTTAGACGCTAAAAACTTGTTTACTGGTTTTTTATTAAAAGCTTTGTGTGACAAGTGCTATGCTAAAGAGCTCAAACCACACCAAGTGTCCGCCTTTCTAAGAACCGAAGAAAGGAAGGAGAGACAGTCCATGTTAGTCAAGAGGCCTCCCTCCCATTTTTCTTAAAGAGACACGCTGCTTGCTCCCTCACTATCCATTCTTGGTTCAAACAGTCTTATACTGCCATCCAGTGGTCACAAAAGGTGCTACGCACAAAAATTAACCAATCTTTCTTCTTAAATTTGACAATAATTACTAATTATTGTCAAATTTCAAACAGTATTTTCTTTTATCACAATTTCTGAGACAATTAATCACCCAGGAAAATTTGTTATCGTGACAGGCCTAATGTCCGGGACCTTACAGTCTCCCCACTAAGAGGATGTTACTTTGTCTCTGCTTCTGAGAGTTGTCATTTAATGTAACGTTTGTTTTTTTAGGGAATTCTTGGTCAAAGTTTATGGATGTTTTTAACCTCTATGGCTGATAATGTTAACTCTGCCCATGACCCATATGTTTGGGTTAGCAGAGAGAGCTTTTTTTTATTATTTTTTTTATTAATAAACACACAGAACTACAGAACACTACAAAAGAGAAAGATATATACAAACACTTGTGAAGGGTGTCATAACTACAGTTTACAAGCTGTGTGTGTGTGTGTGGGGGGGGGGGGGTGTTACAAAATGATGAAAATTGAGAAATACATATATAAAAAACATTAAATGAAAAAAAAAGAAACCTAAGAAACAAAAAGGAGCAAAACAATATGAGAAACTTAAAACGACAAGTTTTTTGATATCTGTTGTGAAATGGTTCTAGCAGTTTTCCAGTTTTTTAATCTACTTATTGAAGAATAGTACAACTTGAATTCGTTCATAAAACACGGGAAGGAGGGCTTATTATCCCTCCACTTACTACAATGAATGTGGTACTTTGCTATAAGGATGACTATATTTATGGCATCAGAGTAAGCTGAGTTTAAATTATCCATATAAAATAAAATTGCATCAGCATCAAAGGGAGGAATGTTAAGTTTTAGATTAATCCAGTTTGTAATGTCAGTCCAGAAACTTTGTGAGTATTGACATGAAAAAAACAAATGTTCAAGGGATTCATCTTCAGATTTACAAAAGGTACACAAATCCACCTCAAAGTTAAATCTTCTGTGCAGAAACATGGCTACTGGATATATCTTATTTATTATTTTAAAATGGTTTTCTTTCACTTTAGGAGATGTAGGCCATTTGACAAATTTCGAATGAGCAGAGGTCCTTATGGTTTTATGATTTATATTGGGAGGTTTCTTGAATGAATCTTTGTTATAATCAGTAAATCCTTTGTCGCATGCATTCATTGATAATCTTATTGTGATAATCTTATCTTATTGATAATCTGTGGGATGGACCTTTACAAGAGATCCTTCCTGTCTACAACCATCAGCATCTACAACATCTCTTAATGAAATGAGGATAACGAGTTACAACAACAAATAATTTCCCTTTGGGATTAATAAAGTATTTTTGAATTGAATTGAATTGAATTGAATTACATTTGAGATCTGTCAGGATTTGGTGGACAGGAACGAACCCAGTAGTGCAGACAGGACTCAACTCGGCAGATAACAAAACTAAATATTTTAATGATGAGTACAGTTACAAAATAACACGCTGACGGGTCAGCAAAACTTACATGAACTAGAAGACTCAGGGGGAAACTCAAAAAGGACTCCGGAAGCTCAGGGAAGACTCAAGAGATGCAGGAGAACACGAGATACCCAACGAATACGACGCAACAAGGAAACAGACTAAACAGACGGCTTATATACAGGGACAAGACGAGACGTGATTACAGACAGCTGTGACAAGACAAGGGTGGCACCAATTAAACTGAAGAGGAAACACTAGGGAAACACAGACACAAACAGAGCCACCAAATGGTACCATCCTTACAGTACCCCCCCCTCAAGGACGCCTCCAGGCGTCCCCAAAAAACACCCCTCCCGAAGGACTTGGGCGGGTGGAGGGCGGCACTGCAAGGGTGGAGGGCCAGAGGAAACACAAGGAAGAACACAAGGACCTGACAAAAACTAAGGCAAAACACAAGCAGGAAAACACAAAAGATCTGAACGGTCAAGAGACCGTCCCTAGAGTCATTGTTCAGGGGGGCGGCCGGGAGGCCGTCCATCACGGGACCAATGTTCAGGGGGGCGGCCAGGAGGCTGTCCATCATGGGACCAACATTCCGGGGGGCAGCCGGGAGGCCGTCCAACACATAGGACCTTGGAGGCCGCGCCAGGCGGCGTAGACGATTTGGAGGCCGCGGCAGGCGGCGATGACGACTTGGAGGCCGCGGCAGGCGGCGATGACGACTTGGAGGCCGTGGCAGGCGGCGATGACGACTTGGAGGCCGTGGCAGGCGGCGATGATGACTTAGAGGCCGTGGCAGGTGGCGATGACGACTTGGAGGCCGCAGCAGGCAGCGATGACGACTTGGAGGCCGCAGCAGGCGGCGATGACGACTTGGAGGCCGCATCTGGTGGCGGAGACCCCTTGGAGGCCGCAGCTGGCGGCAAAGAGACCTTGGAGGCCGCGTCGTGCGGCGTAGACGAAGAGGAGGCCGCGTCAGGCGGCGTAGACGACGAGGAGGCCGCGTCAGG